GATTAAAAATTCCTGCAACCAAAACCGAACTTTCGACAATGGTCGAAAATTCGGTTTTGGTTGCAGGAATTTTTAATCCAAGGCATGACTTATGGCAATTGCCGAAAGTTTGGTTGGAGTGGTAGAACTCACTAATTAGGCATGTTTGTAATACTGGACTTTCGCCAATAGTTTTCTTAATTACTGCACTTTCGATAATGATTAATTTATTGTTATCCAAAGTCCAGTAATTAGAAAATTAAGATAAATATTTGCAGAAAGTGCATGGTTAGAATATAGCTTTTTTAACGATTCTAGACCTTGGTTTTGAAAACACTTTTTTCGTGATCCAGGTGACTAAATTTCATTCAGAATGACATCACGTTACGTACTTTCATTGGGTAGTAAATCACAAGGCTGACACATTTCTTCTTTCCTCTTCGAAAAAGAATAAAGGAAGGGTCCATTGTAAAGAAGATGAAACAATTTATGTTTGCGTCTAGAACTTTTCTCTTCTTCTCTATCCATCTATCTAATCTATCTACTGTATAAGGTTCAACAATAATTTTATTTACTTTATATTTGCAATTTCAATCTTGTGTTAGCACGTTTTATCATCTTTTGGTATTCTTGATCATGAAAAATGTTTTTCGAAACGTCAAATAAATAAATAATAAAGTGAAATACAGTACGGCTTAAACGCGCGTGACGAAATTACATTTTTTCAACTTTTGGGCCGTTTCTCCTCAAATACTGAACAAAAGATGACGAAATTTTATCAGAGATATGCGGTAGAATGCTTGATTTGTGGTAAAAATTTCGAATGCGTCCGTTAAGTAGAACGATTTTTATGAGCAAAATAGGTGTCGTGACGGAATTACATTTTTTAGCCTTTTTTTTCTAGTGCTCTACAAACTTTGAAAAATGCTCTAAAACGAAACATATTCAGAAAAAAAGTCTGATATAAACGTGGTAGAGCATGAAAAGAGCTTTCGAATCATCTCTTTACTTTCACTAAAAAATGCTTAAATGAAAAGAAACAAGCGAAATGGCTTCGTGACGGAATTACATCATTTTTTTGCTTTCTTTTGCGGTGAGTATTATCGTTATATTTCTACCGGTAAAAAAGACATCTATAAAGTTGATCTGCACGGAGCCTTATGCAATCGAGTGCCTTCTATCAAACTAAGCAAAAAAGAACGGTGGGAGAAATGTTTTTGATTTTCGTAGAATTGCTCCAAAAAAAGTATCATTTCGAATTCGGCAAAAAACCAGCAAAAACTTGTTTAGTGTGCAAAATCCGTTTTTTAAGATTGTTTCGACCAAATCAATAGTGCATTTTGTAGAGAATTTAATTCTTTATCCACTGATATACTTTCTACGTCTAATGATGTGCTTTTAAGGCCGGTTTGAGAGAAAAAATATCGTTCAACCCACCGCAGCTGAGGATGACAGTTACGCGTTTTAGCCGAGTATGAATCTTAAAACGGCTGCTGTTATTATCACAACAATTTTAAAACTTATACCCATTAATAAAATTGATCTCTCTTTTTCCTCGCTACCGCCGTTCTTTGCCTCTTTGTTATTAACATGTTGAAAAATTCTTAATTGTTGGACTTTGCCAATGATTAATTTATTGTTGCCGAAAGTCCAGCAATTTAGCCTATTTAATTAAAAATGTCAACCATCTATAATAAAACTTTCCGCAATTGCCGAAGGTCATGCTGCAAGCCGAACTATCGCCGTAACCGGAGTCAGAACTTCGACAATTTACCGAAAGTTTAGTTTTAGTCGAGACTGATTTTTAATGCACGGCATGACTTTCGGCAATTGCCGAAAATCCGCTGCCAAAGTGTACGACGGCGAAATTCGCGTTTCCCCACTATAGTGGAGATTGAAATTTTAATTTCCCCTAGTGGAACTGAAATTCCACTGAATTTTAATTTCCACTGTAACATACACAAGAGATGGTTTTGTCACATTACATTTTTGCCTGATGAAGACTTCATCGAAGTCGAAACCATTTTAAATAATTTAATAAATTATAAATCAATCATAAGAAGACTAAAAATTTAAGCTTAAAATTCAATGACCTTCCTCAGACGTTATCAAGTACAAATTTTTATGAGCATAAAAATATAGACATAATTTTGGAGTTAAAAAAATAAAAAATAAAATAGTCAACTCGGATGGATTTATTGAGAATATTTCTGCAACTCTAATATTACATATTCTTTAGTTAGTTAGTTAGATCCACTACCTTTCGGTGTAGGATGAGAATTAAAAAGTATTACATATTCTACTGTAGTTTAATGAATTATAGAGTTATACAAGAGAATATCTTCGACATTTATATAAAACTATTAATAACAGAGATTTGAAAGTAATTATTTTTGGGAAACCAACAGAGAGTGCTTTTAAAGATACAAAATGGACAATCAATAATTTAATGAAAGACTTTTCTGGACAAATTTATATGATTTGCAATAATTCAAAATCAGTTATCAAAGGAGCAAATGAAAATGGCTTTTATTCATTATAGTAAGAACATGTTGTTTTCGATTCTTAGAAACAAAATGATACTAAAAAACCAGCAAAAAGTAGTTTGCAATAATGTGTTTACAGCTATTAATTACATAATAGAGAAGGAAAATGTGAGCGTTTAAAAATAAACTTTGAACTTAAAACTGTTTAAAAGTTGTAGTAGATAGGATTAAAAACAACATCCAAACACATATGATAACCGTATTTCTATGTATGGTACAAAATAAATTAGAAAAGGATGACTAGTCATATTTGAAACCTTTCACGCTTTTGCCATGATTTTTCAATATCGACTCGAATATTTTGTGTTAGGTAAAATAGCAAATGACGCATTAGCGGTGCTTGAGCGATCGTTTGCCTGTGAGGACACTATTATCGTGCTGTTACGTGATAATATTGATTGTCACATAGTGAATAATCTTGGGTTTGAAACAACATTAGAAAAAAGAAAGACAAATGACTCGTCTTAATTAATATTTATTTTAACTATATCATTTAGAATGCGTTGCATTACCTCACTATCTCATTATTTTGAGATCCCTTCGGACTCTAGAAAATATAACCTCAAAAAGTTATGATTAAAACGACGAGTAATACTTTTCCAAAAAATAAATCCAAACATAGCTAGCGGGGTTTTAAGCCATAACTTTTCGAGAATAGATATTCTAGAATCCGAGGAGATCTCAAAATGCAGAAAAGAGTTGAATATTTAATTTAAGACGTTTCCGAGCTGTCTTGAGGGACTCTTGTGGGATTTTATAGGGATTCCCGTCACGGGATCCTACTGGGACTCTCGTGGGACATTTTTCAATTTTGTTTAGATTTTTCGGGGTTTTACCGGGACTCCCGCAGGAGTTTATCAAAAATCCCGCGAGACTTCCGACGAGACACCGTGACGGGACTCTCGCGGAACTTTGGCCGGGAGTCTCGACTAGGGTAGTCAAGCAATGACGTATTATCAACAATCGGTTGACTTTTTCAAACTATCACTGATTTAATATAATTTTGGAATACGTAATACTAATAGAGCGCTACTGAATTAGCCCATGGCAAGACAGCGAAATATAATTTGGTAGTGGGTAATTTATAATAAGCTCTTCATTATATATTGATGTCTGTTGCTCATAGCCTTCTTTCAACTGCAGGCCAATTGATAATAATATTCCTGATATCTACATGAAAATAGATAAAAAAAATAGATAAGATTTGATTACAATGTGAAAATCAATATTTCGAATTACAAATGAAATTACTTACAGAAAAGCATCCGTTGATTACCCGAATACTCAGCAACATCGCGATAACACTCACGAGTGTCAGTGGAAGCAGTAGTTCATTATGAAAAAGCTCTTCGATTCCAACCTTCTTCACCCTTTCGGGACGGGTGACGTTTTAAAACGTCATTTGGAATTTCGCATGATCTGACGTGTGAGAATTCGAATTTTTTTGCGTCTCTTCGAAGTGAACGTTGAGACTGCTTTTTTTACACACTCGTGTTATGACTCGCAAAGTCATGACAGTCATAAGTTATTCCTCCTTGCAGCTTGTACATATCTTTCCCTTTTCTCTCCTTTTTATTGAACATGACGTCATGATCTCTCTCTTGACGTTCCCTTTCTGAAAACTTCGAGAAGATTCTTACTCTCTCTCTTGCCCATATATATATATATATATATACCTGCTCTGTTCTCGTCACAATCACTTACGAGCTCACAGTTCGTGCTTCATCAGTTTCATTCTAAGGAAGGTAACTTCAACAACAAGGACGCTCAATCAAATGGAAATCGATGAAATTTTGAGGGATTCGGAATCAGAATTAGAAGAGAGTTTTGACGATTTGGATCTGTACTCGATGGATGATGAAGAAGATGAAGAAAACAACAATTTAGCTCCGAGTACTCAAAAAAGACATGCTTCTAGAAAATGGCGTTCATCTGGCTTCGATCCCAAGATTTTGAAATTTTCCGATAGAGCATCAGAAGTCAGCGAAGAATTTGAAACAGGAGGAAACAAACCATCTGACTATTTCCAAGCATTTTTCGACAACGAACTCATGCAGAAAATTGTTAAAGAAACCAACAATTATCAACAACAAAATGCTGCTTCAAATGTCGGAAAAACTGCATTGGTACAATACGACTGTGAAAGAATTGTACATCTTTTTCGCCACTACAACTTTGATGGGATTGAATCAAAAGAATCTCATGAAAGATTATTGGTCAACGGATAAGCTAATTACAACACCAATTTTAAGGGAAGTTTTCACAAGGGACAGGTATCTTTCTATTCTACGATATCTCCATTTTGCTGACAATAACACAGAAGAAGAAGGCAAGCTCCGAAAGATACAACCAATCGTGGAATATTTGAGAAATAAATTCGCAAGAGCAGTAGTTCCATGGGAGAACTTGTGCATTGATGAGAGCCTGATGCTATAGAAAGGCCGACTCAGTTTCAAACAATACATTCGGTCGAAGAGGCACCGTTTTGGTGTGAAGCTCTTCATATTATGTGACTGTGATACGAAGCTCGTTCTGAACTTCATCGTTCACACCGAAGCAGAAACAGAAATCGACAATCGCCGTGAGGTTGGGATACCGGGCTCGGTAGTACTAACACTGATGAAAAATTATCTGAAGAAAAATCATACTCTCTTCATCGATAATTGGTTTTCCAGTCCTACACTGTTCGAAAGATTACTGGAATAGAAAACAAAAGCTTGTGGAACTGTGAGAAAAAACAGAAGTGGAATGCCATCGTTTGAAAAACTTGCAAAAGGGTAACAAACCTATCAGACTACTGATGAACTGTTAGCACTCAAATGCATGGACAAAATAGAGGTGCACATGCTTATCACGGTGCATGAACCTGTCATGGTGGAAACTGAGAAGAACGACAGGGAAACAGGTCGACAAATCAAGAAACCTCTCTGTATTGTACAATACAACAAAAATATGAGAGCAGTGGATCAGGCAGACATGCAAAACGGTTTCTCGGAATGTCTACGGAAAACAGTAAAATGGTAGAAGAAATTGTTTTTCCATTTATTTGATATCACTGTGCAGAACTCTTATGCCATGTTCAAGATGAACAACGAGAAAAATCTTAAACTTTCAGAGTGTCGTCTTCAACTTGCTCTAGGACTCATTGAAGAATACGGTTCAAAGCGGCTACATTCGAGAGGAAGACCATCAACCGATTGTCCACTACGCCTCACTGCTCGTCGTTTCATCGCTTTTATTCCAGGAAATAATGTTCAAAAACGCTGTTTCGTCTGTAGTCATACAGTCAAGCGAGAAAAAAAACGCAGCGATACAAGGTTTTATTGCTCAGATTGTGATGTTCCACTCTGTAATCCCAACTGTTTCAAAGAATATCGTACTTTGAAAGCTTTCTGATGTTCAGATGTGAACGAATTCGACAAAAATAAATCATTTTCGAAAAGGCAGAAAATTTGTACGTTTAATTTTTTCTCAAAATAAGCCCTTCCCGAAAGGGTTAACCTTGACGTAGAATAACATCGATTACACGTATATAAACTCATGGACTTAAGTATTGGTTGGGTATAAAGAAAAATGTTTCATCACACTGCACGTCATTTGCTCAAAATGAACTACTAACTTTATTTTGAGTTTAGGATACTGCTATTCTCAGAGCAAATACTTTTCTAGATTCAGTTATTGACGCTGAACCCAAAAAGTTTTAGCGCGAGCGCTGAAAGCGAAACGCGAAAAAGTTATAGCCATTTTTCTAAAACCTTACTTTTTGAACCTACTGATACCTTACCATTTAGCGCTACCGGATTGATTCTTACACAACGTCGAACAAATTTAGTCTACAAACTGTAAATGTTATATTAGTTGTCGGTTCTCAAAAATAAACATTGTATATTGCACTTTAATCATCGATATACTAATCAATATTAAAATAATTAATTAAAGCCATATGGGTGAATCCATATGAAACCTACCACAATATACAAAAGTGTTGGCCACGGTAACGAGACTGTAAAACTACCTGTTTTATGTAGCTTGTAAATCAAATAGTAAATGAAGCTTATACAGGTGAATCCGCGTGAAACATGCCACCATTACATTCACTATCAGTGTCAACGGTGAGATACCATGGCGTTTGCGCTGAATCTATCGGTGAAAACGGCAGGTCTGTAGCTGTTGCGGGAAAAACGTTATTGGCGTTTTACTTTTCCAGGAAAAGTAGTGGAATGTTGTTGTCTTTTCGCAGCTATTTTGACCCATCGTGTCAGGCTTACACCAGATCTCACCCCACTCTAAAATTAACGCGGATAGTTTTAAGTGAAAGAGTATTGTAAATAATATGTATGCAATGGCCCATATAGGGTTTTTGCGGTAAAGGACCTTGAAGGTTCGAGTTTTCCAGAAAATCTTTTAAAGTCAAACTTTATTTAAAAACTTATTTTTGCTGAAAAATCCGGGTATTTTAGGGCACTTTTCGTAGTATTAATGCCAATTTTGAACGGTATATCCTAGAAATGTCCGCAATATGTCAATTTGCTTAGAATTGAACGATGGGCCAAAATAGCTGGGAAAAGACAACATTCCACTACTTTTCCTGGAAAAGTAAAACACCAATAACGTTTTTTCCGCAACAGCTACAGACCTGCCGTTTTCACCGATAGATTCAGCACAAACGCCATGGTATCTCACCGTTGACGCTGATAGTGAATGTAATGGTGGCATGTTTCACGCGGATTCACCTGTATAAGCTTCATTTACTATTTGATTTACAAGTTACATAAAACGGGCGGTTTTACAGTATTATTATTACCACAGAAAAGTGTGTTGAATAGGTGCATAAAGTAATATTTAATGCTGCCATACCCATTTATAGGCTATGAAACAACGGTTAAACGGTCATTCATGAGTACAAAGTTAAGTTATTATTGATGCAGGTTTAGAAAATTAATTATATTAATACTGATAGTTCACAGTTGATAGTAGGAAATAGATACCTATAAAATAAGCAGAATAGTAGAAAATTTAAGGGACGAAATGGGAATGGGCGAAACGAGAGGACGCTAATTGATTATTTAATAATGTTTTGTCCGCTAGAGTTTTAGTAGCAGTAGACTTTTAGTCAACTTTAAATAAATATCGTAACGTGAATAAACGAAATTCCAAAATATATTGCTAATATAAGCAAACAGCAGAATCAGAAAAAGAAACGTGTTATCGACCGTTATGACGTTCCCTGTTTTTGGAAATGCGTTCTAGACCGTTATTTTTTATAAACTATTTTTCACTAGCAGTTGGATAGAGCTCATCGAGTTACATAGAAAAAGCTCAATTTTAGATGCTTAAACGTCAATTGAATATGGTCCGTGAACATGATAACCCTTTAAGCGTTTCAAATATCAGTGAGAGAATAGAAAGAAAGTCACTCTAGTCTTTAGGAAGGAGGACATGAAGTGACCGGATTTTGCTGGGTTTGTCTTCTGATCCTCAACGTCCATATAAATATTCTGAGAGGGGGGGGCTATACATTATTGAGACGCTAGAAAAGTCCTTTTTAGGGTTTCAATGTAAACGAAGCAAGTCAATATGACTTTGTTTTTGAAAGAAAAGCAAATACTAACCTACTATGAAGATATTTTGAGAATAAGCAACGTTTCCAAAGCGGTGTGATGAGAGTTTTTGTCAAAATTATTGTCTTAATTTCCTTGAAATTTTATATTGACCCATTCTCGAATATTTTTCAATGTTTGTTGTGATTCTGGAGCATATAGATAAAACAAAGGATAAATATGCATCATGTACTGTCCTAACTCAATGGTGAGATCTATATTTTTCTCTTTTGCTTTTTTATAAACACTTCGGGTGTCACTTTCTAGTACTTCACCTGTGCCTGCGCATAGATACATAGACGGGAACTGTCCAAATGAGTGATATGCAGGACTATAATTTATAATATCTGATTGATTTTCGACAGCTTGTGAAACCAAAAAACGAAGAACATCGATGGGAAGCATTTTGTCAATATGACGATTCTTTTCATAACTTTCGCCATTAAGTGTTAGATCGGACCAAAAGGAGAGGAGAATAATGCCACGTGGTACGGGAAGGTGTTGTTTAATTAATGATTGAATTGTCAGCAGCACGAGACCACCTCCTGCTGAGTCACCCATACAAACGATATTTTCCGAGGTATATTTTCCTTCTTCTAACAATGATTGGTACACAGTCATAGTATCATCCACAGCAGTTGGTAGTCGATATTCTGGTCCTAGACGATATTCGACATGTAGCAACGGTAATTTAAAATATTCTGATACATAACATTCAAAACCATTGTGACTGTCAATATCACCGAAAACATACCCACCACCATGTAAGTAGAGAATAAAATTTTTGTTATTTGAGATTGCACCACGATTAATCCAATAGGTATCAACTGACCGACCACCGTACGTATACTGTTGTTTTTCTAGTGAACATGATAATGATCTTGGAATGTATGTTGATAACTGATAAGATTGTCGTAGACTTTTAACTATTTCCAATGGATCTGTTATTCTACTATCGATACTGACAAGCGGATATAATTCCAGTAATTCCTCAAAGGCTCGATATTCAGTACTGACATGGCGTGTGTCAGTGGTAATTGGGAAAAAACGATGTTTATAAGTGAGGTAATGATGGATAAGACGATACTTTATATGATTGATGTCGGATGATTGATAATATATTGGAATAAATATACCAACTAAAATGCTAAGTAATACCAGATATTTTAATAACGAATACATTCTTCTTGATACTGATCTAAAACGAAAATAGACACAGAAATAAACTAGTGAAAGAAATGGACGTTTAAATAAACTGCTTTTACAATTCTATGGATCTATCTCTCTAAATATCGCCTATACCCATGCCCCACAATTTATAAAAAGTATCTAGTCATCAAAATACCCACTTATCTTACCAAAAAGGACGTACACTTTTATATATTACACAAAAATTGTGCTATTCGTTTTTTAATGCCGTTGTATTCTACCTTAAGCAACAAACGAGTAAGTCAAAGATGAATTGTTTTTCTACTTTCTCTCTCTGGATAAGATAAAAAACAATCGGTGGAGTAGGAGTATGAGAAATATGTCAACAGAAAAGTTTGCAACAGCTTGCTGAAATTACACAGATCAAGTCTTATTCGTAGCAAAATAATTTCTCTTTATTTATCCAAGCAATAAATAATGTTATGAAGAAAGCATAGGTTTATCCTCCTACTAGACTATAGTTGACAAGCAGGCATGCAGCAGTACCAGTACTGAGGCAAAGTACTAACACTATACTTATAACATGATGATAATTTCTAGAAATGATTGTTACCAGCACTTCAGTAGCTTTCATAGGAAATAGGAACGAGCAATTTTATGCAGACCGCTCAGTTTTCTGACACGTGTTATGTAAGAGACGAAAGGAATAGAGAACAGCTGAACGAAAAGGAAGGGTGAAATAAGTCTAAAAAGAGAAGAAGCCATTGTACCATTTGCCGGTAAAAAGTCTTGATAAATAAACCTTTCATTTGAACTTTTCTGATAATCTCAACGAGTTTCAGTAGCCTTAGTACAACCAAAAGATTATTTTCCAGACAGTCACTTTCATTTGCTTTTAAAAAACTCGATTTTGATGAAAAAAACGATAAAATCCCCGAGCATAGTAGAATATAAGCTATCTAAAATACTGTTTGTTATACATCATGCTATACATCTCGGTGAGGCCAATCTGATGAACTCTAAAGCAATTCATTAAAATACCTATTTTGCTATTTTGGGAATAAAAACGGTTATTCTGTGTTATCACCCTCTTTTCGCTATATGGATACAAAAATGTTCTTATAAAGACTTCTTACGAGCATAGTCAATCAGCCTTCCGAAGACGAATCGAATCGTATGATAAGTGCAGATTTTTTCCGTTTTTCGTGGAGTTATTGCTATCGTAAGGTGACGGGATATTTTCACAGTAAAATATAGTTTCCTCAGAAGCGATCAGAGATATCAAGTTTACATTTTCATGAACAAAATCACAACAGAATAAAAGCGTAAACGTCTGAAGTCAACCAGTCAACAGTTTCAAGTGGTATTACAAAAATTAAACCGAAAAAGTCACGAGACACTTAGTGTCAAAATGATGCTTTCTAAAAGTAATATCCAATTTTCTACATCAAGACAGTGGTTTAAGATTTTCTTCTTTTTATCAAAAGTTGTGTCTTCCACTCTTCTGACGGATGGCAATACGTTTTACCCATATACACGTGTGCAATTGTCTATCCAATCTCATTCTCCCATCTGTGGTAATTTTCCTTTTTTTCTTCTGAGAAGTGATCTTGGCTTGTGTGTAACAGTGAGGCACCTACCAGAACAGATATAAGTGTGTTTAGACACGCGTAATATGAAATAATACTGATAAAAATATCTACTTTCTTATCTTTCTCTACATATAAACTGATCATTACGTTATGCATGATCAGTTTCTGGGTTTCCCTTATTTTTACGTTCTACATTTCATCTATGTCCTTCTCTGTCATCTCCACATGCACTTTCCCATCTATTATCCTTTTCGGAATACGGGATCAAACCAAACCTTTTTAATAGAGCTGTAGCGTATAAGAATTTATCGTGTAACGCATACAGAGTTCTATATGCAAGATATGTCTGCCCATGTGAGAAAATGCAATGAACATTTTTTTCTTTATTCTTCTCTTTTTTCATGTCTTCAATGAATTATCATTCGAAATAGAAGTGAAAATAAAACTTCTGTCCCTACAGTGAATACTTTTAACAAAAACAGAAACACTCGAAGAGCGTAGTAATTTCTTTATCCTTACCTTATTTTTTGAACTTTTTTCAAAAATTCTTTCACCATTGCGAGTCTCAGTGATCGAATGAGAAAAAGAATTTTAAGGCTTTCATTTGCAATGAGGAAGATCTTAGTTCCTTATATCTTAGGTTTATTTAGAATTGAAGTCATTTAGTATATAAAGCAGAATAAAGCAGAACTGTTCAAATGATTTCAAATGATAAACTGAAAATTCTTTTTCTTATGCGATTACTGAGACTCTCAGCTTGAAATTATTCTGCTCATCCAGTGTTTTCCATCAAAAATCCAGTTTTTAATTATTTGAAAACTGTGTTTTCAATTTCCTCACCTAGGTACTTTTCCTGATAAAAACTGAAAGGCATACTAATCGACAGGGAATTCAATTCTGTACAAGATGGGATGTTTCTTTTGAAGTTTAGACTCAAAACAAGCTTTTTAATAAAGTTTTAAGTTTTAAGATTTTCACACAATTCTAAGGAAGTGAAAACATTTTTTCAGCTTTATTCTCACGTTAGTCTATATTAGACGCCTAAAACTAAGTCTGATGTGAAAATGAAATCCTTTGAGCAATGTTTACTGCTTCAAACTTTGTTGGGAAAAACGAGTGTCGCAGCGTCACGATGATAAAACACAATTATTGAGTGATTGAAAGCTCTTTGGAAAGATTCTTTTCTAGCAATCAGTAGCTCGTTTACTCCTCTACAAACTTTGTTCCAGGCACTTTTTATTAGCTCATCTAAATTCGCAGCAAATTAGCTTTTAATGAGAAGCACTTCGAATTTCGGGCCTTTTGTTGTCACAGTGTCAAGCGCCGAAAAACGATTCTGAAAATTCGAGTCTTTAACCACATACCTTCATTTTTATACCAAAGGTAGAGTATGGCGGGCTGCCTCGAATGGCGCAATGGGGCCTTTGAGAGTTTTGCTGCGCTTCGGATTCCGTATTCTCTTCTTGTGTATTTATTCTGAGGGATATGAGGATTTTGAGAGTTTTTCCGCCTTACCGATTCCGTATTCTCTTCTTGTGTGTATTCTTTATATAGCTGAAGGATATAGCCTTATTCGCTCCTTGCGTGTATGTTCTATACTGTTACGGCACATGGGGCGTTGGCGTAAAAAACCAACATGAGGGTATTTGTGTGTTCGGAATTCCGTATTCCTTATGGGCATGATGAGGTCATTCAGACAATTATTCGAATCAGAATAAGCTCTGCACAATCAGAATAAACTTCTACTTTGTAATAAGTTATAATCTCTTACTATATTAAGTTAAACTGACTCCTTTTTACAAGTATATCTGATAGAGGTGGTGAAATCATCTACTAAACTTGCCAGTGAATGGAGTGTTGATTGAGAGAGAGATAAGGATATACAGCATTTTGACTTTCAATGAGGCTGTGAAACTCATTTTCTTTGCAACTAATACAGAAAGAAATGATACCAAGAACATTCGACAATTACTAACCAGTCAATCAGGCTTCTCACAAGGTTTATCGTTTAACGTGTTCGACTAAACTACTATCTGTATAGGCGCAAATGTATTGATTCGCCTAAATGTAGCTGCGGAGATGATAGGGAGGACATTGACCACTATTTTCTTCACTGTAGATTATATAACACTGAAAGACTACACCTTGTGCAGCAACTTTCTTTCTTGGATACATTCACAGTGGATACGCTACTATTCAACAGATCAGATTTAGATAATGACACATTAACATGTTTACTAGATGCGGTCATTACATATATTCAGCAAACGAACAGATTTAAATAACTAGCAGAGCAGTATTGCTCTTCTATTGCTCTTCTCTTATGACGTCCACGCTCCCCTCACCGCCAGGCCTGTCTACCTCTATCTTTCACTTCGCTGTTCTATTTTAACTGTTTTTTATTTTTAAATTTTTTGTCAGTATGTTTCACCAACTGTTTCCATATGTATTATCGCTAGGCCTACAATGGTTATTTAACCGCTGGCCTTCTTTATCAGGAATCAATAAAGATATAAACTAACGTGTTCGATCGGTCCCAACTCTTTACAAGCCATATAGAACATTCTCTCTCATGCTCATCTGTTATTTTCTATTTTTCATTTCTATATGGCGCTACAATTAACGTGAAACAATCTAATGAAGGCAGTTATCATTATTTTTTAAGACTGTGCGATATTAGAGCATTACAAATGGCACCACACAATGCTGTACACAATGAAAGGAATTTCAAATAACTAAAAAGTGCGTAAACGAAGAGGTTGCAACTTACACATTCTGAAGTAGGTTGAATGGGTTTTGACTGAGTTATGAATTGTTTAATTTTTGATGATTATAATCAAAAATTGATTATTTCGCTTAGTATAGGTTTTCACTCAGATGTTGCATTTTGTTCTGAAAACTAACATTGCCACGAGATTCAGCATAGCCGACAACCTATGTTTTCATTCATTTCTGACGTGTAAGTTGCAACCTCTTTGTTCACACACTTAGTTATTTGGAATTTTTCTCATTGTGCACTGCACTATGCATATAAAAACACTATAAATGGTTTCCCGCTCTGGATATTCAAAAACCTGAACTGATACATCTATGTTTAGATAGACGCTTACACATCAAAATATTAGAAAAGATTACATATAGAGATACAATACATAAAAAAACCTGTACAATCAAACTACCCATCTTTTTATGTTTTTTTCTAACTCAAACAAGCGCTTTTACGCGATATATGCTCACACATGTGCCGGGTGACATCGACACACGTATATTTGGACTCTCCGAGTCTCGAGGTTCCATTTGCGATACCACAAGATTATATTTTGCGACGTTCATTTTCTGTCATTTTTGGAATCCTTTCAGTTGATCCCGATAATCCATCTATGAATACGCTCCGAAACGCAAGTTATTGTCGGATGTACAAGTGGTGTAGCACACGATTGA